TGCGCTGCTACATGTCAGTTTATAAGGCATAGTGGCTGGCGGATAACTGTAACAGCAAGCTTGCCTTTTAATGGCCTTTAGCCAACTAAATGTTGGCAGCCGCTTGAATGAAACCTTTCATAAATGGGAAGCATGTGTCTTCAAGCACGTACTTAATGTTTGCTAGACACACGGAGTAAGTGTAAGGATGAGCCGCTGGAGACACAGGCTAGGAGTTGGACAGCGAAGAAAGCAGACAAGAAGAAAATTAAGTTGATTCAGAAATGGTTTGACAGCACATAACAAGAGCAAACACAAAGGATGTGCCAAAGATGAGAGAGACCGGTGTTCTGGTTGAAGCCTTTAATTTTTGGCAATACCTGAGCTGCACTGGCACATTTAACCTACTACATTTCTGGAACATCAAACACAAGACCTTGAACTTAATGAATTACCTGTTTTTTAAAAAAAAAAAATAACAAGAGAGTATTTTAATACAGAATTAACATGAGTGTGAACGTGCTCTCTTTTTTTGGTCTAACATATCTGACATTTTTAAAGGGCATTTAAGAAACTGATCGGCATGTTTCTCTTTTTTTGCCAGTTTCTTATTAATTCTAAAGGCAGTTTGTTTGTTTGTTTGTTTGTTTATTCCATTTATACCCCGCCTATCTGGTCATATTGACCACTCTAGGCGGCTAGAGTGGTTGGTTAATGAAAAGGTAATGGGAAAATAGCAACCAAATGGCCAAAAACCTTTTGCAGAGTTATGCCACCTCTTTTTCCTCATCCCCGCCAACATCTTCAGAGACAGCAGCCTGGCTTCCCTTCCAGGGACCGGGCCAGCTGTCTGTGCGTACACCCACCTGTCAGCTGAGCCACTGTTTCTGAAGATGACAGAGGCCAAAGAGGAAGAGGAGAAGGTGGCACAACCAGGTAGGGTGGGAGGGGTCAGGGAGTGGAGGCATTGGGTTTGCCTCCCCCCTCGGGAAAGTGAACCATAGAGCAGTTCATTTTTCCAGGGTTTAGGTGTGGTTCTTGGTTCGTGGGTAGCCGGGAACCACAAACCACCCCAGTTCATTGTTTTTCTGGCTCGTGCCCATCTCTAGTCATCATTCTTCTCCGGGCATAGATACACCAACTGTATTTCAGCCCCGAAGTCACCTTCCCATTTTAACAGGGAGTGGGGGTGTTAATGAATTCCATTGCTTCTACAAAGTAATTTTCCAGAATCTGGTCAAGCAAATTGGGACCAGGGACGAGACAGAACTATGATAATTGCTGTCTTACAGAAGCTAGGTAACGTTGTCATGGGTCGTGAGGAACAAAAAGAATCTTAGGTTGTTGTTACCCATTTAAGTTCTGCTTAGGGAAAATTGTCACTCAGCTCGCATCTCCCAAATGGTGAGAAAGTCCTTGGGTTGAAAAGTGCAGTCTAAACTTTCTAATAGATAGCCAAAGTCCTTGCTTCCTTCATCAGATCTCTATGAAAACAGACAGAACACTAAAACACTGGCAGTATATCTAGAAATAAATATTTACTGTCATTATATATTAAAATATATACTCCCCTAGATCACAAGACCTCCGGATGGAACATAGGAAAGAAATGAATTTAAAAGAGATTCAGAGCAAGGCAAAACCATATACAGTGGGGTCTTGACTTGAGAATTTAATCCGTATTGGAAGGCGGTTCTCAAGTCAAAACGTTCTCAGGTCAAATCTGCATTTCCCATAGGAATGCATTGAAAACCATTTGATCCGTATCTGCTCCGTCCATAGAAACTAATGGGAAGCTGCTATTCTGCCTTCGACCACTAGAGGGGGATATTTTGTTTCTTTTTTTCTTAGGTCAAGAAAGGTTCAGGGAAGGCAGGGAAGATACAGTCCAGGCAGGACAGTACCAGGCAGTCTGAAGACTGTCTCCCAATCCACTCTCTAAACGCTGGGAGGAGTGAGGAAGCAGACAGGCACCCTTTTCACTGGCCAACAGTTAACTGAAAGTTCACATTTTGCCCTTTCCCTGCCTCCCACGTGGTTTTTTTCAGTTCTTAACTCAAATCTAAGTATGTAAGTCAAGTCAATATTTTCCTATGAGAGTGGTTCTTAAGTCAAAATGTTCTTAACTCAAGCCGTTCTTAAGTCAAGACCCCACTACACGGTGTGGATACTTTAGAACAATAAATACATAATAATGGAATCTTGCAGTTTAAAAGCCCAAGTTCTTTGACCCCCAAAAGCTTTGGTAAAAATCACTTTTAGCTAACTACTTGGCTAACAAATCAGTTCCCATGGTTGTCTATTTAACAAAGGATGCAGCAATATTGATCTGGCCATCTAGGTTAATCCTCTCATGTCCATCACTCAGATTTGCAACAATATTATTTAATGTATTCTCAAAAGCTTTCACGGCCGGGATCTGATGGTTGTTGTAGGTTTTTCGGGCTGTTTGGCTGTGTTCTGGAGGTTTTTCTTCCTAAGGTTTCACCAGTCTTTGTGGCCAGCATCTTCAGAGGACAGGAGTTAGAACACAGGAACACAGAGTTCTAACTCCTGTCCTCGCCAGCCACAGAGACTGGTGAAAGGTTAGGAAGAAAAACCTCCATAATGCGGCCAAACAGCCCGAAAAACCTACACCAACAATATTATTTAACATTATCCTGCAATTGCTGCTGCAAGAGGTACGTAATGTGTAATAAGAGGATGCTTTCAACAAGTGTGGGTGAAGCCAGGCTGCATAAGAACTACCGTATTTTTTGCTCCATAAGACACACTTCCCCCCCAAATAGTATGTGGGTCTTATAGAAAAAATACAGTAAAAAAGGGGTTAAACCCCCACCCCCCAGAAGCCCCCCCCCCCTGCCATGCCGGGAGGCCTCTGAACTAGCATAGAGACGGCTTGCTGTTTGGACCTTACCATTCTGCATTGCTGGCTTTCTAAGATCTGCTTCCTGGAGCCCATCTGGAAAACCAACAGGCAGTAAAAACAACCAAGGACAAAAGGGGGAAAAGTAATTCTAGAAAAACCAGGGGGAACCGCAAACACAGTCCCCCACCTAGGCAGTTGATTTTCCCATATTTGGGGAAATCACAGGGGTCAGCACATCCAAAGTGCAATAGATGAGCCTCACCCTGGGAAAACCACTTTGATAATCATGGTATTTCCCTGCTAGGTATGAGTTGAAATGGCCTCTGAACCTCCTGCCCCTTTCTGTGCCCTGTCCCCCAAAGGCATGTGATCCCCTGGCTGCCCCTCCTGATCAGAACAGGGCTGCACAG